CACTCCCAACGAAGCCTTTCGAAATATTCAGCTTTCTTTCCCCCCGATAATACCTCTGCAAACAAGCTATACTAGAGCAAGAATATCTCATATCATCAGGGTTAAAAGCAAGAGTATCCCATATCATGCTTTTTTCCCTGTCTTTTCCTTTGGCCTTGTTTTTACCTGCAAGACAAGGAGAAAGAGAGCAATCAGTCAGCACTTGGAATCAAGCTCCCAGCCAGGAACTGACTGCTTGGAACCCCTTACCTGATTACTTACCTGGCATTGCTCTCGAGTACTCATCTTCAACATCTTATGTTTCCAGGGAAGATTCCGCATCTGCTTGAGGAACAGATAGGGCAAGTGCGAAGGATACAAGGAAGCATGTGGAGACAAGCGTAACAGCACACGTGCCGATACATCCATTACTCTGTCAAAAGCAAAAGTATCCCATATCAACAGGGTGGAACGTACTCTAGATTTGATGGACTTGTTTTGACCCTCAAATTCTTCAGTCGGCCTTATACTCTGGAGGAAACCAGAAAACCCTCAAGCTCAGTTCAAGAATAAGCCTGTGGAAAGTTACTTCTTCAAAAGCAAAAAGTATCTCATATCATCTCTTCTCATTTTTCTTCTCTTTATCCTTCATGCTGCTGCAAGATGGGGAGAAGGTGAACAATCAGTCGGAGCTCTGATTGCTTACCTTGTCTGTCACCTCTTTCAGCAGACCCCCTAGCTCGGCGACTTGGGGGACTCCTACTACATGATTTGTATCGCGCTTGACCAAGCTTGAAACTACAAGTAAGCTTCAAGTGAAATTGATACATTACCTTGTGCATCTCCACCAGTTAAAGATACCACCCCTGGATGGAGGAAGAGTACTTCCAGAGAAGATGCCACATCTACCTATGAGACAGACAGATAAGGCAAGTCAAGACGACACCACACTCCGATACTTAGAAGTTTCGTGATTACGAGATCATTCTCCCACAATATTTCCTAATGTCATTTGTACTAAATCATTCACTTGTACTCACTAAAGGAGAGCTTGAACCTATGTACTTGTGTAAACCCTTCACAATTAATGAGAACTCTTCTATTCCGTGGACGTAGCCAATCTGGGTGAACCACGTACATCTTGTGTTTGCTTTCCTATCTCTATCCATTTATATACTTATCCACACTAATGACCGGAGCAATCTAGCGAAGATCACAAAAAGCGACCGTTTTCGCTACCTAGGATCTATCTTGCAAGAGAACGAAGAATTAGATGGAGATCTCAACCATAGAATACGAGCTGGATGGATGAAGTGTAAGAGTGCATCCGGCGTGTTGTGTGACCGTCGTAGGCCACTGAAGCTCAAGGGAAAATTTTATAGGACGGCAATAAGGCCAGCGATGTTGTATGGCACAGAATGTTAGGCGGTGAAGCATCAACACGTACACAAAATGAGTGTAGCGGAGATGAGGATGCTTTGTGGGATGTGTGGGCACACGAGAAAGGATAAGATTGGGAATGAGGATATCCGAGGTAAAGTAGGAGTAGCCGAAATTGTAGGAAAGATGAGAGAAAATCGGCTCCGGTGATTTGGACATGTGCAAAGAAGGCCGACTGACGCTCCGGTTCGAAGATGTGACTACGGGACAGAGGTTCAGGGCCGAAGGGGTAGAGGAAGACCTAGGAAAACTTTGGAAGAGACTCTAAGAAAAGACTTAGAGTACTTGGATCTAACGGAGGACATGACACAAACCCGAGCGCAATGGCGTTCTAGGATTCATATAGCCGACCCCACTTAGTGGGAAAAGGCTTTGTTGTTGTTGTTGTTGTTGTATATCTTCTTCAACTCCCAACCAAAATCCATGAAATTTAAATGGATTTGAAGGTCTTGAAGAGTAGAACAAGTTCGTACCTATTAAAGGTCCAAAATCCAACGAAAAACGGTTGGAAAAACCTTTGAAAGTTCTGGTCAACTGTGTACTCTCTCGAACTTCCCTATTCCGACGTCCACTCCACTCCAAAACTACTCCAAAATGCTAGGGAAGTTGATTGGAAGCTTCCTCAAGCCTCAAAACTTTATGAATCGTCCACGATCATGTCGTCCAAAGTTCCACAGTGACGGAGCTCGAGAGTCGACGGGTCAACGTTCACCAAAATTGAAAACTAAGGGTATGGTGATGATCGTGAAGTCGAGAGGAGGAGGATGGTGGTCCTTATAAGCTCGATCCGTGTCGATTTGATTAAGCTTGCGAGCTGGGGTGTCTCGGGTGTATGGACAGAGAGAAGAGTCGAGAAAGAAGGAGAGAAAAGGTGAGGGTGTACGTGTGCATGTGTGTGCGATTGGCAGAAGAAGAAAATAATAAAATTTGATTGGGCCCAAGGGAATAGGAGCTCATATAATTGGTTCATAATTACTTGTTTATGCACTTTAATAATCGTAACATTCTCGTTACGACTCTGATTCGAGTCTAACTAGCGTCAACGCACTCATGACGTCGAGTACGATTTAATTACGATAGCGAGGAAGATAATTTAAAATTGCATATGCACATCCACGTCACTAAGCCACCGAGGGAATAATCGTTATCTTACATACTCGGGGAGAAAATTATAATGAAAAGTGGAACGGGTCGTCACACATATATTCACATTTTTTTTATAAGATCGTCAAATAATAATTGTATTAAATACATATAAGTATTGTAGTCAATCCCAACATCATATTACTCCTAGTTCGTCGGATTTGGTATTTTAAGTTTAATTTTGGTTCCCGTTTGTATAATGGGGTTACCCATTGTTTAGCTAAATTTGCTTTGTCTATTAGCAGTGAACTAGTTTAGACGAAGGAGCCTCCTTCTCTTATCTAGGAGGTCCTCCTCCAAGACATATGTAACTCTCTTTGAGTTTGCTTCAATATAATCGTTCACTTCAAAAAAAAATCCCAACATCATATTCTCACAGAAGACTATTCATTAATTTGGGCTGAGCTTCAGACATTTAGAACCTGGCTTTCGTCAAGCCCAATCTAATGAAAGAAAAGCAACAGCACTACATAAATGGGTCAGGGGCAGAATCTATAATTTCGCTACAGCTCCGGGGCATTTCTCGAATTCTACTTTCTCGAAACGACAATCACCGTCCTCACCCCTTAGTACTCAGTAGAGCAGAGACACTAAAGCCGCGCCGCCGCCGTGAATCTCCAAAAGCTCCGGAAAAAGCAAAAGAGAGAGCAAAAATGTCGAAGCTCGGTCTTCTCCGCGCCGCAATCACGTCAAGCATCGCCGTACGTACGGCCGTGCCGCAGAACCGCGGCCTCCCTATGCTCCTCGGCGAACCGGCGAGACGGTTCTCGACAGAAGCCGAAAACCCGCCTCAGAACTCCCGGCCGTCTGATCAGCCGCAGGATGCTTCACCGATCGAACCATTTCTCCAAACCCCAACCACAGGTATTATAAACTGACCTATCGGCTGCCGTGGGCATGGCTGTGATTTCATTTCCATTTTCAATTTAGGGTTCAGGGTTTTGGGGATTTAAATTCAATGATGATATGTGTCAATGGCAATGTGTTGCATATGATATTTTTAAGGTTTGGTGTATGGGAAGCTGCTTGGAATCTCGAGGTATACGCTGAAGACCGATGTGGTGAATATGCTGGAGGGCTGTAATTTGAGCCTGGAGGATGTCAAAGTTGATTACAATCGGGCCTTCACGCCGATGGGAATGTAAATTGCGTATTCTCTATTTTGTTTATTTGCCAGTAGATTGATAATTTGTTATGCCATGCAATAGATAAATTTGTTTAGGTGCCCCAAAAATGTTTGGTTGATGATTTGGGTATGCATTTTGGTTGTTAGGGTCGTGCAATTCCGGTCATGGAAAGCTTTTGATAATGCAGCTAGGGTGATTTCCAGGAAGGGCCGCCTGTTTAAATTGGAGAGGGTAATGATGTCATGGATGCTTGATAGGATATAATTGTTGCCCACGTATTTTGTGTCGTAGTGTGCTGATGGTAGGTTTGTGAATGACAGGCTAACCGATCGCAGTGGGACAATCTTACTCCCCATGATGCAAAAACTGTAAGTCAAGGTTTTCTATTGCATGCTTATTATTGTTTTCAATGAAATGTTTGACCAAGTTGGTCGTGTTTTGAGTTACTCTTCATGCAACAAATTCGCTTGCTATGTAGAATGGACTGAGTAGTAAGACAGGATTGATGAATATTTGGCTTTCGAGGATGAACCTAATGGATTCAAATTTTTCTGCAAGGCAATATATGCCATAGGCAGTTTGATGCTCTAAACAGTTGAAGTAGGTTTTTTTATCTGGATAACGCATAAATATTACCTGGATAGAGTTGCTTCTTCTTGAATTTGGAATCGCTGGAACTACCATGTGGCAACCTAGTGAATTTTTGTTTAGTATGTTTGCATGCACCTTCACAAGAAAGTTGGTAAGGTTGCCATATGTATTGATTTTATTGACAGAAGAGAAACAGGCTCCATCGGGTCATATGTAGACTGAGTCTTCATAATTTGGAGTTACTGTTTCCCATATGTCAAGTATATGCCATAATTATTTGAATGTAATCTATACACTTTATCTTACAATTAATTTGCTATCACATGATGAAAATCTTTCTGAAAGCATTGGAAATGGACATTTGGTATTATCAGGTTTTATTGCAAGGAATTCCTCAAACTGCGGCTCCAGAAGATGTAGAACGGTTTTTATCTGGTTGTGAATACGATTCATCTTCCCTCCAGATAATTTTCAGGTAAGCTGAATGGCTTGCGAATGAAACATATATATATATATATATTGAAATACTTTTACTCTACTTGATTTTTATTTTATTTTTTTGAAACTATGTTGCAGGTCTTTCCCAGAACCCTCCAAATTTGCAACTGTTCGCTTTCCGTCTCAAACCGAGGCAATGAATGCATTCCTTGCGAAGAACAAAGGCTACTGTCAGAATGGTCAAATTTTGATGCGCGTTCTCCAGTAATCCTGGTTTGTTGGTTCCCTTTGTCAGAAGAATTGCTATGAGGCATGATAAAATGAGAATAGGATTATGTAGTATCATGTCGTTATGCGGCACTTTAGGAATTTGCATGGTATACGATATATCTTTTTATGAGGCCGTGTTTTTATTTACTGGATTCAACTCAGGAGTAGAAATGTGTTCATTCCTTATGCAGGAATGGGTATTCCTTTCTTTCTTTTAATCCCAAGTCTTATTGCTAATAATTACAAGCATACATAATTTTAATTTCTTAACGTTACGATGTGTAGAAGAATATTTTGCAATCAGATCTTTATTACAAATATATCTTTGAAATGATATGCTACTTTAAGATTTTGATTCAAAGCATCTTAAAAGGGAAACCTTTTAACGGTATCACACAATTTTGGGATCACAGGCCATAATAGGAGGAAAACTTTGCGTTTTTCATTATCCATCTTCGGTTCATGAAGGTGAAAACATTTGTTTGTCTACCTATATTAGCATGCGGATTAGTAACGTGACTGATTGAGGGTCAAATGGAAACGAATAACAGTACAGATTTGTGTGTTACCTGTGAGACATTCAAATGATATGGTGGGAGAATTGCAGCGGTGAACTGGAATAAAGATAAGAGAGTCATAGACTGCCATTGAAAATTAACCGTTAACAATATGATTGAGATTTGAGACTAATAAGACCAATTAAGCTAGAAAGCTACCAATTAATTAAGGTACATTCTTTCCTTAACAAACATGTGCGCGAAGAAACAGTATTTATTCCTTAACAAACATGTGCGCGAAGAAACAGGATTTAAACATTCTTTCCTTATTCTATTATATAAAAGGCTAAGTTCAACCTTACATAATCTCACACAAATTTCGTACATATAATATCCTTATTCAAATGATTTCTTGCACACAGACGAGACGAGGCTAATTATTTAACATACTTTACCTCACATTTATCAGTCCCGTTATCCTAGACCACAAGGTTCAAGTGTGGTCTCTCACCATTCGATTTTATGTCCTCCACTGTAGGATGAAGATTGAACGGTGAATGACCATAATTTTCTTGGACCACAGGTTCTAGGAGAATGGAACTCTCACATTTATATTTCTTACCTTTACCTCTTAAATTGAGATATGAATCTCTAATTGTCTTTAATTTGTTCACAACAGCATCCATAAGCATTCGCTTTGATGGTGATGTGGCAGAGCATGAGAGTCCAATTTGCATCACTGAAACTGAGCATTCCACCAACCTTCTTGCTTGAATTGGGCTTCCATCAACATTTGCATCTTCACATTCGACGAGCAGCAATGGGTCAACAATGTCCATGGCATGGTCAGGCATCGCCATGGCAGTGAATTGGTGAATGCTCAAACCATCTTTAAACATGTCATCGGTAGGTCGTCTTCCTGTGAACATTTCTAGCAATAGTATTCCAAAACTATAAACATCTCCAAGGATGGAAACTTGGCCTCCCATGCCATACTCTGCCATTCAATACATACGTTAGAACTTAATTTAGCTTAGTGATAAGTTATTAGGAAGAGAAGGCATTGAAAGTGATAGAAACTCATACCTGGAGGAATGTAGCCTATTGAACCCTTTAACCCGGTTGATATGGTTTGACTTTGAGCAAGATCATTAGAGGCCTCCAAGAGGAACCTTGCTAAACCAAAGTCACCAACATGAGCTACCATATCTTCGTCAAGAAGAACATTATTTGGCTTCATATCACAATGAACAATTGAAGTTTCACAATGGTGGTGGATATAATCCAATGCGGAAGCAACATCAATTGCAATATTGAGTCTTTGGACAAGGCTCAATCTCTTACTGTGAGTGTGCTCATCATTTTTCAGATGCAGCCACATTTCTAAGCTTCCATTTACTATGTACTCAAAAACTAGACTTTTGAAATCTTGACCCTGGTTGTCAATGCTTGAGCATGCAGTTATGATCTTCAGAAGATTACGGTGCCTTATGCTTCTCAAAGCTTTGCATTCATCCATAAAACTCTTGGATGCTCCTTGTTGTTGAAGGTTTAATACCTTAACTGCAACTAGTGTTCCATCACCGGGGACTACTCCTTTGTAAACAGAACCAAAACTTCCAGAACCAATCAGATTTTCTCTAGAGAACCCGTCAGTAGATTGAACAAGTTCTGAGTAAGAGACACCTGATTTCCAATCTTTATAAGAACGTGAGCTTACTGGTATACTCCTTGGCCTCTTAAGCATTGAACGAGCAACATGAAAGCATGACATACCAATTATGAAGGCAAGCGCACAAGCTACAGAGATGACTACTTTTCGAGCAAGCAATCCTCGAGATGAGGGAGGCTTTGTGTTGGGGCATGCAGGTAAATGTAATTTCGAGCTGCCACCACAGAGCTTAGGATTTCCAAGAATTGAGAGACTAGTTGCATTTGAAAAGATTCCTTCTTCAGGCATTTTACCCTCAAAATTGTTATATGAAAGGTTGAGATGACTAAGAAATCTAAATTTGCCTAGAAATTCAGGAATCTGCCCAGATAAGTTATTACTCGAAAGATCAATTTCTTCCAGGCTTCTTAAACTTTTGAGAGATATAGGAATTATTCCTTGAAACTCATTACCTTTCAAATGCAAGAGCACCAACATAATACAACTGCCAAGGCTTGTGGGGATTTCACCTGATAACTTGTTTCCTGATACATATAGCTCCACTAGATTTACCAAATTTCCAACTTCGGATGGTAGTGGACCGGTCAACTGATTGTTAGGCATGTAAATTGAGATGGAAGAAATCCGGAAAAGCTCTTTAGGTATGGTGCCTGTTAGATTGTTACTAGAAAGGTCAAGGAATAGTAGACGTTGGCAGTTTCCTAGACTCGGATGTATTCTTCCCTCAAATCCATTGTCATCCATGTAGAGCTGTGTCAGCGAAGTCATGTTACCTAGGGACGACGGGATCGGCCCCGAAAAATTGTTGCCGCCCAAACTCAACCCCTCTAACTTCTTAAGCCTCCCAATTTCTTCAGGGAGACTACCACTGAAATAGTTATTTTCCATTCCAATAGCGGCCAAGTTTAGAAGATTTCCAATACCTAAAGGGACGCTTCCATGTATGGAATTTGTCCCCAGATAAAGACTTCTTAGTGTGGTAGAAAGATTGGACATGGATACGGGCAATTCTCCTCCAAATTGATTATCAACAATATCCAAAACCTCCAGACTAGTACAATTAGCCAAGAATTTGAGAAAATTCAGGTCGCCAGCTTTCCCACTTCCCAGTCTATTGTGATAAAGGTTTAGAACAACTAAGCTTCGCAAGGTTCCAAGATTTTCACCTGGGATTGTTCCAGTAAGACCATTTTCAGCGAAGTCAATAAGTTGTAGTCCAGAAGCATTTGACAATGATATAGGAATATTTCCTGTGAATTTGTTCCCGCCACATGCAAATTCTTGGAGATTAGGAAGAGTAAGGCCGACATTTGGTGGTAGCTCTCCATGCAGTTGGTTGAAACCAACACCAAACGTGTGTATGGAAGAAATATTATAGATTGAAGCAGGGATTATACCAGAGAGATTGATTGCTTGAAGTCCGACAAATTGCAATCTTGTTAGCCGCCCGAGATCATTGGGTATGCTTCCTTGAAAATTGTTTCCGCTAAGATCAAACACATGCAGAGAAGAAAAGTTTCCCATCCAACTTGGGATGGTTCCAGTCAGATTGTTAGTAGAAAGCAACAGACGCCTTAATTTCAACAATGAACTAAGTTGTTTTGGAATCGAGCCAATAAGTTCATTGTAACGAAACTCAAGCGTCTTTAGTTGGGTACACTGGGATAAATTGGTTGGAATTTTACCGCTGAAGGAATTGTGAGACAAGTTGAGAACGTGTAGGCTTTGCAGACGACCAATTTCCTGAGGAATTTCACCACGAAAGCTGTTGCTTCCTAGGTTGATACTAGTAAGATAGGAAAGATTTCCTATAGAAGGAGGTAAAGAGCCTGCCAAGTTTTGATCTGGCAGGTTCAAAATCAAGACTCTTTTGGTGGAATGGCTGCATGTAACGCCAGCCCAACTGCAGAAATGGATGGAATCATTCCATGCGCTCATGACATGGAGAGCATCTTGAGTGATGTGTTTCTTGAAGTCGAGCAGCGCCAGGCGATCAGTTTCATTTCCAAGACTAGTGCTGGACAGTGCTGCAAATCCCAGACGTGTGGTCATGCATAAAAGAATGAAGCCATGAAAGAGTTTAAACAAAATCAGCCTGCCATGAATTCGACGTGAATGCTCCATCCTTACCAAAATACGGACTGCAAATAAGAAACTCTCTGTTTTTCTCTCTCTTTTGGCTGTGAAATTAGTAACCAAGTTTCGCTTACAGGAATGCATATGAAACACGAAGACATGATATGTCTTATCAAGTGGAACATAATCTTGATTGAAAGTAGACCACAGCTCCTACCGTGTCAAGCAAGGAATAGGAAGACCATATTAGTCTGCGGATCCCGATAGGTCTTTGTCCTCACAGTCAAGTTCATCGTGATTGCAGGCCCTACCACTGTGTAATCAACCAATGATTCTTCATTGAACAAATTAAGGAAGAGGAAACAGAGAATGTTAGAAAAAACAAAGTTTAACATGGGTTTTATTGTTATTCTTTCTTAATTGTAATTACAAATACAAAATTAAGGTCATTTGACCTTTTGATCTTCCTTCAATATGAAACGAGTAAATAACTATACATGTTTGACGACATACAGTGAAGTTACTAAAGCGGTGCGTTAAAGTGATTGATAAACTTAAGTAAGATACGTGTTTGAAGGGTTCGAATGGTTTTCTAATTGATGAAGACTGAAGTAAGATTTACGTGTTCATTGAGCCTTAGTTTTGTCCTTGTTAAAATGACCCAAAAGAAAAAAATTACAGTGAAAAGTAGAACTCCAAGCAGTGTGAGAAAGCTAGTAAATGTGAGGACCACACTAAAAGTGAGCTCCCATCGAGCAAAAGACCTGGGAGAACCAAATTCGGGACCTTTTGGTGGGAAGGGCGCACAAGTTGCATATGCATCTCTTAGAGCATCTCCAAAGGAGATATTAAAATGTCTAAATAAAAAATAACGGTATAAAAAGACAGCATTAATGTTTTCCAATCAAGAAGCCAAATCTGACGTAGCATAACATGGAATGACATCTCTTCCCCTTGTTGCCAAATTTGATAGCACCTTCAGATTTTTTTAATTAATTATTAAATGCTTTTTATTAGTTTTTTTATTGGTTTAAAGTATTATCCTTTTGTTTCCTTTCATTCCCAATGCAAAGCAAATACATATGATTTTTATTTTATATTTAAAATTTAGCATATAAGTTGGAGCGCAAAACTTTAAAAGATGTCAAAGTGCCATATAAGCCTTTAAATTTAAATTTTAGGTTTAAAATTTGACATCTCATTTGGAGATGATCTTAGTATGCTATCTTAACGTTTGTTGTCAATAATATAATCTTATGTTCAAGTATCTTTCCATATTGCATTGTATTATATTGGCTAGGAACGTTGGCATCGGCTTTACTCCGTCACTTGTAAGTTCTTCTTTCTCTGAGGATTGTTTTTGTTTAAAAAAAAAAAAAACTTTTGCTCATAAAAGCTTCTACTAAAAGTATATTCATTAGAAACACATTAAATTCAAGTGCTAAGAAAGACACTGGTAAGAAGCACCTACCAAGTGTATTTTCGAAAAGTGTTTTGTGATAACGTCGCTTTTTTAAGTTTTTATGTTAAATGTAGTTAAAAGCGTCACTCGTTGTAAAACAGAGTTGACAGGCCTTTCAAAAACAGTTTAAACATCCCGTATCCAACTCTCGATCGCACCTTGACCTCATCCAAGCTGTTTTATTGATTTAGAATCTTACTTATTTTCCATACCTGTAGGGCCTACCTTTCAATTCAGACATTAACATGTCACAGTTTAGAGTGATTTTTACGTCGAAATCCACAATTTTCTGCTAATTTTCGAAAAACAATTAAACAAATGCATTTATTAGTTCAAACTATACATTAGCCATACTTCAAAGATTAATTAATCAGTAGTGCATCACGTTTAGGAATTAAGATATTGTTCACAGAGGCGGATCCATACATGGTCAATTGCAATATTGAGTCTTTAAACAAGGCTCAATCTCTTACTGTTCTCATTTCTCGGATACAGCCACATATCTAGGCTTCCATTTACCATGTTCTTTCTTAATTGTAGTTGCAAATACATAATTATGGTTATTTGACCTTTTGACCTTTTGAACTTACTTCAATATGAAACAAGTAAACAACCATACATGTCGGTGACAGACAATAAAATTACTAAAGCGGTGTGTTAAAGTGATTGATAGACTTAACTTAGATTTACGTGTTTGAAGGGTTCAAATGGTTTTTTAATTGATGAAGACTGAAGTAAAGTTTACGTGTTCATTGAGCCTCAGTTTTGTCCTTGTTCAAATGACCCGAAAGAATAAAGTAGAGGGAAAAGTAGAACTCCAAGCAGTACGAGACAGCTAGCTAGTCAATGTGAGACAAATAGTGAGCTCCCATCAAGCAAAAGACTTAAGGAGAACCAAATTCGGGACCTTTTGGTGGGAAGGACTCACAAGTTGCATATGCACCTTGGCGTTTGTTGTTTATGATATAGTGTTACGTGTAAGTATATCTTTCCATATTGTGGCCGGGGATGATGGCATCAATGTCCCCTTTACTACATCCCTTGTAAGCTCTTCATTTTAGGATTATTTTTTAGTAAATGGTCTTTCAACTAAAAATTCATTAAATATAGTTCTTCAACTTGTCAAATCATGAAGCATGGTCCTTCCATTATGTTTATTGTTAATGTGCTTGTATGGCAGTACAATGGGACCCACATCATGTTAAATGGGTGCCGAAAGGAATAAAAAATTAGGTATATAAGTTACATTTTTATTATAAATATTCTACAAAAGAAACAAAAAATAAAATAAAACATGATTGCCCCCTCCCATCTTTCATCCCCTCATTCCAGGATCTCCACATCTCTCATACACACCAAAGCCATTGCTCACCGCAGACTAGGCCTGGCATTTTGGACCTAACCTGTTAACCCGACCCGACCTAACCCGTTAATATTTGTATTTGGGTGGATGCTTAACGGGTCGGGTCGCTAACGAATGAACCCGTTAACAACCCGTTAAATAACGGATCACTTTGGGTCAACCCGTTAGACCTGTTAGGACCCGTTAACACCCGTTAGTTGAGGATATTTTAGTAATTTTAGTAAAATCTTAATAACAAAAAATAAACTTTATGCAAAAAAAATAATAATAATAATTGTTAACGGGTGAAACAGGTGACCCGTTAGCTTAACGGGTCGGGCTCGGTTGACCCGTTAGCTTAACGGGTTGGGTTCGGGTGACCCGTTAACTTAACGGGTCGGGTTGAACCTGATCCAAACCCAATAAACCCGACCCGTTTACAGGTCTACTGCAGACCTACCCCACTAAACCACCTTCAATCTTCATTATTCGAGTAGATGGGGACCTCGGGATTACGGGTAGTGCTACTCCATTCACCGCCAATTTGGGTTTGTTCTGGGTTTTGAGAACCATATGCGGCGGGGCAACTTTTAGGGTTTCATTTTGGGATTGTGACGTTTCAAGATGAAAATTTTAATCTATTGTGAATTTGTGAGAGCTTGTATACTGAATTTATCTTCTTTAGCCCTTTGTTTGCAATTTAAATTACATGACTCAAAGTCTGTTGTATTTCTTCAATTTTCAGCTTCAAGTTTAGTAAAAAATTGGGGATGTGATTAATAATCTATTGTGTCCATTTATGTAATTTAATTATTTAATAATGTTCTAGCAAAATACAACCCCAATAGAACAAAATGAACCATAGAAAAAAAAATGCAAAATATTCAGGGCATGTTTGGTATCTAACTTGAGAACGAAACTCAAAATTTTAATTTTTTTCTAAAAACACATGTTTGATTTAAAAATTTTAAATTCCCTCCCATCCTCAGCGGTGAGAGACCAATTTCCCAACCACTGGGTCCCTCACTTCCCTAGCGGTGACTACTTTGGCAAATACCTGACAATCACATCCCTCCCATCCCCAGTAGCGAGAGACCAATTTCTCGACCACTGCATCCCTCACTTCCCTAGCGGCAACTCCTTTGGTTATTTACCAACTCCTTACTCCAAACTCGCACTGATAGAGGCTAATCATGTTGGCGTTCTCAAACCTGAGATCCAACGACCATAGGGAAGATGTGGTGGCTATGGTGCTATGGTGGTGGCTATGGTGGATGCAAGTGAGAAGAGATAAAATTGAAAAGGCAACATAGAAGAGAGGATTGAAGAGGCGGGAGAGATTGATTTGTCTTGGCCAGAGGAAGAAGGATAAAGGTGGTGGCTATGGTGGATACAAGTGGGAAGGGATTGGAAAGGCAATAGAGAAAGGAGGGTTGAAGAGGCAAGAGGGAAGGGAGTACATCGAATGGGAGAGAGGAGAAAGGGAGAGAGAGAGAGAGAGAGAGACACGGGAGTGATAATCCATAAAATAAAAAGTCTAAAAACACATTTTTTGTGTCTTCAACCAATAGCCCTTGTTTTTAGATATTTTTTGAGTTATGGTTTTGAGAATTGTATTCAAATCCACTACCAAACAAAGATTTTAAATTTATGACTCAAAATTTGTTTTTGAGTTAAAAACATTGATCCAAATCAAATACCAAACAGGCCCTTACCACTCACTATTCATAGTTTTGGTCAAAGAACTCAAATTTCAGAGAAAAAATAGAGAATCTTGTATGCATCATTTATAAAGGTTACCTCCTTTTGGTTGAAAAACTGAAGCATGACGCTAATTCTTCTTCTGCTTCCACCTCCTTATGGAATTTGACCCGCCAATAACATTTGTACTTCAACCTAAAATCAGTAACCAGTCAGTACCTTTGGCAAGCTCATTGGGGTATGGCAACACTATGTATGGGAAGATTATTGCAACCCTAACAAACGAAGAAAAAGGAGGAGGCATTCGGTTGAGGATGTCGATGAGGAAAAGAAGAAGAAGAAGAAAAGAGGAGCTAGTTGAGGAAAAGAAGAATTTTGGTGATGTGTTCAGTTTGGAGGTATGGTCTTAAGAGTTTACAAACTACCTATATGATTCTCTCACTTCAGTGTTTACAAACTGCTCTAGTTTATTCTAATTTGGTTGTAAATTAATGATTTTACTCGAGGTAATTGAGCATGTTGCAGACCCTACTGAATTATGTAAATCTCTATCACCCTTAACTGTCACGGTGAAGCAACTGTTACTTCAACTATTAACCGTTCTATGAGAGTGTATGCTACTGCCATCATTGCATCAATTTATAATCTAATCAAATTAGTAAGAAAAACACATGTTTTCATGCATGTAGAAACTCAGTGGAGAGAATACTACATTTGCAACACAATGAAAAGAGGCAAACACATGACAAATATACTCAAAATATAGAAGCATCAAGGAAATAAAATGACATAAAAAAAGAGCCCACCAATTTAATGAAGAATTCTCCAAAACTCAGACCTTTAAATGTAATTCTACAAAATCATGAAAATTTACTACCTAACAAAATTGAAGCATATCTTGACATGCAAAAGGTCAAAAGGTACCTGAAGTGATGAGCAATGA